TATATATATATATATATATATATATATATATATATATCTACTAATTCACTCTTAATAAAACCATTGAATTATACAAATAAAAATCAACACTACTTATTATTATTACTTATTTATTACCATATTTACAATCTTAATATTATCTTTGAAACCAAGGGGTGTAGAAAAGAAACCTAAATTGTTCGTTTCATTAAGGGAAACAATTTTTAAAAAATTTCTTTTCTACCTCTGGTGTTAAAGGTGTTATAAACAATATACTTTCAACCCTAAACTTTAAGGGGTGTTTTCACTCGTTCAAAGTAGATATTATCTGATAAAAAAACATAGGTGTCAAACGTTTCCTTGAGAACTATGCCCCACATAAGTTCCATCAAAATCAGCATGTGTTAATTATTGGTGTAAAGATAGACAAGAAATTTTTGTTTAAATTATTCTCTTCGAAATGAACAATTTAGATTTCTTTTCTACAGCCCATAGTTTCAAGGATATTGCAAACAATATACTTTCAACCCTCAAGTTCGAGGGGTGCGTTAACCCGTTCAAAGTAGACATTGACCGATAAGAAAAAATATGTGTGAAATATTTTCTTGAGAACTATGTCCCACATAAGTTTCATCAAAATCGGCGTGTGCTGGTTGAAACGGTTCCCTCGCAAGCTAAACTATGGCGCGCGGAGTACACTCGAAGACACCGGAATAGTGCAAGCGGAACGTGCTAATGGCGTTGCGACCGGCAGAAACGTTACGTAAATCGCAAAAAAACGAAAGAATAATAGGCAGAGCACAATCTTTGTCCGCGATCCGGCATTAGAATGCCTACGGTTCGGCATCGGGGAGTCGAAGATGCGGGACGCATTCAGCCTGCGTACCCTTTTATGCACACCAGATTCGCACTGCATTCGATGCGGTCCGGTACGTTCTTAAAATCGCGATGGCGCGGAGAATGTGGTCTGTTTCCTTTTTCATAGGAGATCAGACGTACCGAGGCGTGTAGCTATTAAGTGGCAATTTATCATTCGCGATTTTATTGTTCCTGGAGTAAGCTGCGCCTTTCTCGGAGGAAATTCAATGATTTATCAACCGTACGACTACGTCGAGGTATAAAAAAGGCATTAGCATTGTGCGGGACATTCTCATGACGGCCGACGTGCCTCGCTGAGCTGTGTTCTTACACTCATTGTTTGAATCTAACAATAAAGTTGCATGATTTCAAAGGGGGAGGCGATTAAACGATCATTTGATCGATTGCCGTGTCGCATGCAACAGTATGATGAACTTTATGCGAATGAAATGATGATAGAATAATGATTAATGTAATAATGCACGAGGAAATCTGTATATTCGCATATAAATTAATAATAATTACTTTAAATACATGAAATAATTAATAATAATTATTTCAATACAAAGTACAAGCCATAAAAGTCTATGCATTGTACAAGTTTCGAGTTGCGACTGTTTAACGAAGTATTTTGAGTATTTTATATTAATTAGTTTGTGAATTAAAATTAAAAATATTCCGAAAGAAATGAGAACGTTGCTTGTTCGTTATACAATAATATATGAATGAACTGGAAACGTAAAGTTATGAAATGTACTGGAAGGCTGAAAGAGAATACTAAAATGTACAAAGCTTGTTATGAATATTTTAATTAATATGAATAAGTTCATTAAAATCAGCAGTTTATTTCTAGTTCTACTTTGTTTATTATTCCTAGTAATGAAGTACAAACATGATGTGATAATTCCGTAGACTTAAAACAAAGGTATCATTGCTTTGATTTTATTGGAAGGGATTCGCCAAGGCGGCATCGAACGAGGAAAATTTTTTTAACGACTACCGTAGTGTTTTCACCCGAAATTATGCCTTTTTAAAGTAATCCGCGAAAGTCGGGAATGAAACAGAAATTTAGTTTTTCTTCTAATGGCTCAGCGCGATTTCAAAGAAAGTAATGAGGTTATTAAAGTTTAATGAAGCTGTTATTGCATTACACACCGCACGTTCGTGTGCCTGATTAATGCAGAAAATCCGCGGGCTACTCGTCGCGGAATCCATTTTGAATGTCCTTATGAATAAACTCTGAACCTCGACTGTAAGAATGGTAGAATTCGGTACACGCAATAAAAATTTCATCCCCAACCGTGAGACCGTGGAAGCAGCTTATGCAAATACGCAGTTTTAGCGGCGAAATTTCGTGAAACTTCGTGCACAAGAGAAACTTATCGTTAGTCTCCTTTGTTAAGAATTTTCGGGAAGCCGAAGGAACCTGGAAAATGTATGAGGCTTCATTGAAATGTTCACGGAAATGTTTCATTGTTTTGAACAGGTGTTAAGTTTCGCAAGGCATTAAAAATCATTAAATTCTCAATTTACTATAATTTCCCAAATATACAGAGTCACGTTCATCAATCTTTGAGAACCACTTTCACTTTGAAAAACTACAATTTACAAAGAAAATTGTCTAATACACGTGTTAACCTTTAATTTCCGACGGCATGGCCGCGAAACCACATGTATCAATATCAGGAAAAATCGATATAATAATCACTCTCGCATTATTGTTACTACTATTTTTACTAGTATTTTTAAAAATATTTATTTCTATTAAAAATGATAAGTTGACTTATATTATGAAAATTAATTTCTTAAAGGTTTTATACGGGACCTGAAGTGTTAAGATCTACATTAGGCTAGAAAACTGCATAATTATAGAAATTGAATTAACTTCACCAAGATTAGAATATAAAGTGTAAACTCCGTATTACCGAAGTTCCTTTCTATTTTCCTCAATAATATTTACCAAATACCTAAATAAAGTTCACGCGATCATTTTTATATCTCAAGATAATTCCGAACGATCAAACACCACACTGCACCTAAATTTCTCTTAATTTCTCAGAAGGATCATTATGCAACCCGCCTTAATTAGATAAACGTGGCACGCGAGTTAAACGATGTTTTTCTTATCCTTTCCTCTGTTATCTCGAGGCACCGCCGAACGTATAATAAATTCCGCATCGAAATGGAATCGCTGCGGCGCAAGTTGCTCCTTGTTTCTCGCTCTGTCGAAACGGAATTCCACGGTGCGAATGAACGAGCCCCGGGCGGGCTCGCCTTACCGAAACGAAATTGTTTCATTCGTCGGCTCGTTACGCGGGTACCGTATAATACACGACCCAGTCGCAGCGCCAATGAGATTAACACTAGAACTACCGAGCACTTCATACGATTGACATGTAATCCATATAAGAATTCTAACA